CACGACAGCGAGTCCCCGGTCCATCCCGGACCAGCCTCGTCCGCCGCGGGAACACATCAAGCTCAGGGCTGCCCCACGGCCCCCCCGGGACACCCGACCCTGCACCGGGGCGCCCAGGGACTCCTGCTGGCTGGTAGAGGACCCCAGGGTCTGCAGCCACCACGCTTCTGCCACCAAGGCCCCCGCACTGTGGGGGAGGGGGTGAACTGCCATCAGCCCGGGCCTCACAGAGAGCTGCCCCACCCCCGGCCAGCCCCGCTCCCCAGGGTCGGGAGGGAAGGGAGAGGCACCTAGTGTAAGTCAGGTCCACGCACCACTGGACGAGGACTCAGTGACGGGGCCGGACTGATGCTACGCACTCAGCACCGCACGCTCCAATGCCCCAAGCTCTGGGCACACACACCTTCAAGTCATCGAGTCGTCCTCGGCAGGTGACTCGACCGACCACCCAGGAAGTCTGGAAAAATCAACTCAAGGGTCATGAGGAGCCTCCACAGAAAACCACACTCAGGACAGACATCTTTGAAAGTGAAGTTTTCCTTCGTACCAGCACTGACCAGTGTGGACCCTGACGGGTGCAAAGATCTCACTCACAATTCAGCAAAAACAGGCAGTGAACGTGCCCGGTCTAAGCATGAGCAGGACCGTGGGGCGAAAAGCCCTTCTCGCTCTGTCCTGCGTGAGCCCAAATGCCCAAAGTCGCAACGTGTGTGAGCCCAAAATGCCCAAAGTCACAACGTGTGTGAGCCCAAAATGCCCAAAGTCGCAACGCAAAAAGTGAAGCCACAGAAGCACTGGAAGAAAGTGCGGGTTTTTAAAACTGAATGAGCATCACGTAGTGGTGTAACTGAACACAAAGGCAGAAAACCACCAGGAAGGAGGGCCTTGATGAATCCGACCGCAAAAAATCAGCACATGCACATGGAAAAAAAACTAGCAGCACAGAAAGATGAATGACCGCCCCAGGGCCCTTCTATCCTGGGAACCGTGAAAAGACAGGCCTCAAACAGCCCAACCAACAGGAGGCTTGGCGCAGGGGTGCATGCATGCATGCTAAGTCACTTCAGTCGTGTCCATGGCGACCCCATGGACTGCTGCCCACCAGGGTCCTCTGTGCATGGGATTCTCCAGGCAAGAACACTGGAGTAGGCTGCTTCCCAACCCAGGGATTGAACAAGCGTCTCTCATCAGGGTAGGGGTAGGAGCTGGCAATTCAGGAAAGCAGAACACAAACGTGGAAAGAAAAAGATGATCAACCTCAGCAGCAAGCAAAGCAAAGCAACCTTTCAGGTGGTCGAATAGTAAAGCCGTCACCAACACCCAGAGGCAGTGAGGATTGGACGAGAGGACCTCCACGGGCTCCGAGGGCAGGGCCTCCCTCCTTCCCTCTCCTCCACCCGCCCGTGTTCACTATATTCATGTTTCCTTGTCCAACACCGGTCTCCCCACCTCCTCCTTTCTCCGGGCACCCCGCACCTGCGGCAGCCACACCCACTGGGTCACCACCGTGTAACAAGCACCCGGGACAGCAGCGTGTCCCAGGATTGCTCGTCCCCAGGAGCTGGCGGATGCACCAAGCTGCCCTGTGTGTGCACTCCTGACTCAGCAATGTCATCCCCAGGGACACACCCTAAGGAAACAATGTCAAGTGCACAACGATGAACACACAAGAACGCCCGCTGCTGAGTTGTTTATACACTGATGCCTGAGTTCCAGCGTCCCCCAGCCTTCCCCCCCCCCAACAAATACAACCTGGATTTCGGGGCAGGGAGACACCCACAGTTCTTAAGAGCATCCTTTGAGTCTAGTTCACAGGACTGAGAACAGCCCTTGGAAATTTAGCCAACAAGAGATCCTTTAGATCGAAGAGATATCATGACACCTCGCTAAGTAAAAACAGCAGGTTTAGACAAAACCATAAATGGAGCATGATCCCACTTCTGCACTGAAGCCATAAAGAGTATCTCCACACAACACTCACACAGATGTGAGCGCATCCAAGAGAGGGGCTGGGGCAGGCATATACACTCAAGAGGCCTTTCTGGGCTGAAATTACCAAAGCCTCGGTTTTCCTGTTGAGGATAATTTTAGGAAAGTCTAAATTTTTCACAAATTTATACACTTTAATCACTCTATAAGTTAAAAAAGGTTTTATAAGTTTCATAGAAGGTTATCAGACTCCGGGAGCCCCAGGTCCCGCCTTAACGCCCGCCCCACCCCTCACGCCGAGAACGGGCACTCTGCCGCCCTGGGAAGCTTTAGTTCCAGGACGCTCGGTGAAGGCAAAACTCCCTTATGCCGGTTGTTTCCCACCTGCAACTTAATCCCACGTGAGACTTTAGAACAGCCAGACTGCTGAGAAGGGCAGGGGCCGCCCCGCCCCCAGTTACTGGTCACCCAGCTGCTTGGGGAAGGTGCTGGAAGACGTCCAGACGAGGGATGAGGGCGTCTGACCAGCACACTGCAAGCTGGGCAGAGCAGCAGACTGCAGGCCCCGCAAGGTCCACCCCTGAATCAACTGCTCCCGAAGCCAGGAGGGCAGGATGAGAGGAGGTGTGGGGCTGCGGGCAGACAGAAAGGGGCCCGGTGTGAGGAGGAGGCCCGAGGAGTCTGAACACGGCCCGGCACAGGCTGATCAGGGGCTCAGACACCTCGGGGTTAACGGGGACACGGGGCCTTCAGGGGCCGACGCGTCACAACTCTGCTTTCCAGTTGGCATCTACCTGGCATACCGTTAAACTGCACTCTTATTTTTCTTTTTCTCTGCATACCAAATTTGATATATTAATTGGGTGTTTTAATCTAAAAAATTCATCAGAAGGTCTCATGTCACCATGGCAACCGGGCAGTCCCAGTAAACGCAAGCCCTCAGCACAGCACCGTCGCCTCTTTCGGCTCACCCAGCACAGGGCCGAGGAAGTGCGGGACCTTGTCTGGGGAGGACAGCTGCACGCCCTGAGAGAAAGGTGAGGTGCAGCCTTGCCCTCCTGGAAGACCGGCCCTCCTTTCCAAAGCCCGCTCTTTCCATGTAAAGAAACCCACAGCCTTCAGGCCAAGAGCTGCACACACTTTCTTTGCAAACACGTACTATGATCCCCGAGCCGGGTGCACCCTGACAATGACACAGAAACAGAATAAAACTGGAACCAAGTGGCCGCCAACCAGGATCGCATCCACGGTGATCAGACCCAGGGTCAGTCTCGGCCCTCTCATCTCACCGAGCAAAGCCCAGCTAAGTCTCATCCTGAGTGGTTCAGGTTGGAGAGCTGGCCGCCGCGCCCAGGGATGAGCGCTGACTGACAGGCACGTGTGCTGAAGAGCGCATACCTGTTGCTGAAGCCGGCTCCCACCTGCACCAGCCCAGAATAGCCGGCACCTCTGCTGTCCTGCTTCAGGCGAACGGGGATGGCGGAGGGGGGGAAACGTGTGAAGTAATTCTCAAATCAGACTCAAGAATCATAGATGGATTCTGTGCTCTTTTTGCCTCTTTAATGTTCCTTGGATTCTGAAACCTAATACTCTGAACAGGTAGTAAAATTCGATCATTCAAAGCTGAAGGCAGCCACTAGGCTACATCAATGCCTCTCTGCCTACGTTTTCCACCTTGGAGAGCAAAATGCAAAGACATACGAGAGCGGCCAGCTCTAGGCTGACACTGGTGAGTCCTGAAATCAGATGTATTTCTCAGACGTTTTCTGATCCTGCCCCTGCAGCCAGAGCTAGGTGTAATCTGCCTCCTTATTCCTTCTTAATTCACTCTGGGCTTTCTGCACTCAGAATATTTACACTCAAAAACATGTAACATATGAAACATCCCCAGCGGTAAGTTGTGCCCTAAAGTTCAGAACACAAAGACAGGTCTCCCCAGAACACACTGTGCGGGCGTGGTCGGCCCTGAAGGCCTCGCCCCTTGACCGTGTCCAGACACCCATGCCCCCTCCCCGCTGACCGAGACCAGGCTCACTGGAACCCAGCTTCCTCCAGACCTCCCCCACCCCGCCGGGCAGCAGGCTCCCCTTCCCTCTGTGAGGACCGCCGCCAGGCTACAACACTGGCCTTAGGTCACAGTATTGTAATTTCCTATAGTGCTTAAATTATTTATCAGAAATAAATAGCTTGGGTTCCTTGGCTAAGCTGTGCTCTAAAATTATAAAAGATCCATCCTACCCGCTGCAGACTGCCTACAAATGAAAAATGCATGTTTCTACTATTTTAAGAAAATGTCAAAAAAAATCAAATGTGTCATCTTACAGCATTTAACTTATCTGCATGACATCTGAGAGAAGAGCTGCATGCTAGCCTGTGGAAGTGTCACGGTGCTCCGGGGCGGGCACTGCCACCTCCCCCAGAGGTGCTAAGGGAAAGGCCTGTGCCCAGCAGGGCTCAGGGAGGCGTGCCCGCAGGCCTGCATCGGTCTCCTGCTTCCCACCGGCACCCACCTCCAGGTCACTAGCCTTACCTGCAGGGGGACCTGAGGGCAAACTAGTTCCCAAAGGGAGGCTTTCTGCACAAAGGCATGCCTCCACCGCACATCTGAGTGCAAAGGTGGGCACGCCCGAAGCCACGCGGCGCGGTCGCCGGCACTGAGAACTCCGAGGGCCGGGCCCCCGCGCCACCTGTGGTCGGGCGTCTCCGCTGGCGAACTCGGCACCCCTCAGGTGCAGAGGGGCAACCGAGCGCGCGCACCGCACAGTAAAGGAAACCGCAGACACAGCGCCCTGGCTGCAGTGGGGGCCAACGACCCTCACTCCCCACAGCTGGAGGGCCTGCTCCGCCCGCCGCGCCGCGGCTGGACACGGGGGACGCGTGGGCACCGCAGGCACCGTACGCGAGTTTCCTCGGAAACCGAGACGCCCCGGGACGCCGTCCCGCGCCGGGAACCTTGGTGCCCCGACGCACGGAAACCCTCCCGCCGCAGCCCCCCTGCGAGAGCGCGCGGGCTCCCCAGCGGCGCGGGCCCCAGTGCGCTCCCCAGGTCCCCGCCGCGCGGCCCTTCTCACCGTCCTCCTTGTCGTCAAACACCGGCCTCCGCGCGGCGGCCGCCGACATGGAGGACCCCATCCTCTTCTTCCACTTGCTCCACTGAAACAGGGGGCGCGGCTGCGCGCGGGCATCGCTGGAGTCCCGGGCTAGGGGCGGGGCCTGACGGGTCCGGGGCGGGGCAATGGCCGGGGCGGGGCCGGAGCGAGAGCCCTCCGGCGGCCCTGGGTACCCACCGCCCACCACTCAGGGGCGGGTGCCGCACACAGCGCCGCGGCGGCACAGACAGAAGACAAGAAAGGGATCCCTCTGGCCTTGGTGGATAAAGGCGGCCCGCGAGCTGCTGCCGCCCTTCCCGGGGCGCCTTAAACCTCATCCTGCGGTTCTGAGTTTGGCGAGGCCGCGCGCGGAACCCGCGAAGGGGCAGTGGGAAATGGCTGTGCGGAGGCCAAGGCCAGATCGCCGCCTTGCGGCCCCGCGTCCGGCACCGATTCAGCGCTGCGGCTGCACCAGGGCCGCAGGGAAAGAGGGGCGCGGCGGGAGCGGGCCCGTGGCGGGAGAGGGCCCTGGGCGGGAGCCCCTCCCCGCGCGTCCGGCCCAGACCCCGCGGCGAGATCGCGCGCACACGCACGCACGGGCGCGCTCGGGGTCGCGGCGACGCTGAGCACCCGCGCCCGCGCCCTGGGGTCCCCTGGTTAGGTCGCTGTGGTTGGGTCTCCAGTCCGGCTCTCAGTGCGGCCGGCCGGGCACGGGACGGGACGAGAAGCTCCCGGAGCATGTCCGCGCCTCGGGCCGGCCCTGGAGCCGTGTGCGGCGTATTGCGCGAGGAGTGGGGGTGTCGAGGCTCGGTTTGACCTCCTTGCCGCTTCCCCCGCCCCCCTATCGCAGGGCCAGGAGAGACCTCGCCGGTAAAGCACGGCGGAAGGCCCACGAAATGGCTCCCGGTACCGCCCAGCCTGCGTGCCTGACACTTGGTCACTGAAGGCTTGCTTTTGTTGAGTTCTCTGACTTTGACTTTTGGAAGCCTTCACCTCCTTAGGTTCCTCCCCCAGGAAGTCCCGAAAGGGACTCTGCTGCACCTGGATGAGGGTGGACCACCTACCCGACCTGCAAGCTGGGACACGGGGACCTGCGAATCTCTCCCCCCGGAGGCCCCCGTTCCTCCGTGGACACCCTTCAGCCATCCTGGCCCTGTCCGCCCCTGGAGCCGCCCTGCCCCCGCCGGTTGTGTCCCTCAGTCTTGGCTGTTCCTTCCTCCGCGGTAGGACTAGGCTTGTCCCCCATCCCACCTTTGAAATTCAGTGGAGCCCCTTTACCAGTCTGGGCTGCTTGAACAACGCAAGGTGAGCAGAGGTGATCTGGGTCATTTCTGAGCCACACTTTAGGGCCAGTGTCCAGACTGGCCACACACGCCCCCTTGGCTCAGAAGGAGTCGGGATCACTGGGGGACCACCTTCCAACCAGCAATGGAAGAGCAGAACAAGGGAGAACTCGGCCCCTGTGGGAAGCCAGTGAGGTTTGGGGTGCACTTGCCACAGCATAACGTGGCTGTGCATCCTACCTTGAGTCCAACCCCAGGGAGGCGAGTTCCCTGGGCTCCAGGCTGAGCCTGCTTCCATGGAGCTGCCCCAGCTCTTTGAACACAACCCCTCTGGCAAGCCCTGTCTCCCAATGGGCCTGTTGAAGGCTCCCAGCTAAGACAAAGGGCTCTGTAGACAGCCTCCCCAGGCAGCAGTGAGTGCAGGAATGTTTCTGAAAGGGGGGTGCTCCGAGGCAGGGAGCCATTCCAGGCAGGCTGAGAGCACGAGGTGCAGAGTGGGCGGGAGACAGAGGAAAGGGGGGTGCGAGCTGCTTACTGGAGAGGAGACCAGGCTACCGCACCCCCGGGGGGCCCTGTGGTGCTCTCGGGGCCTGGGAGGGACTTACCTGCAAACGGAGAGGGGGCAGGGAGGTCAGCAGAGCATCCGTGTGCCCAGGGATGCCCATGTGGAACAGGCACGTGGGCGGGATGAGGACAGGGCCGTCCCCCTGCTCTGCCAATGACAGGACACTACGGGTGCTGCAGTCACCAGAGAAACGCGTCCCAGTCAGCCCGCCCCTGGAGCACCCGCCCCAGATCCTGGGCAGCGCATGGTCACGGCACCACCACAGCTGGGCTGGTCTGCAGGGGTCCCAGCTGGTGACCTGGTGAAGGCCTGGAGCCCAGGAGCTGTGAGGACACCGTCCCTGAGATTGAAACGAGCTAGTGTGCGAGGACAGAAAGTGGTCAGTGTCTCTGGGGGATGGCGGGGGCCCGCTTAGACAGGGCCTGTGCAGAGCGGCGGGAGTCTGATTTATACTCACGGCTCAGCTCCTGAAACCCCAGCATAAATGTGCGTCAGCCTGTAATTCATCCAGAAAGCTGTGCTTCCCGAGAGGATGCGGTTGTTAGCAGTCTGCAGTTCTCACCTGTACCTTGTCTTATAGCCTCATTCTGAAATTAACACGCTGCCTGCACCTTTGTAAATGGTCCCTGTTATTAATCTCCCCTCAGACTGCTCAATTTGAATGCACTGGTTCCTGCTGGGAAACATACCAGAACGGACCCTGGAAAACAGGAAACAAGCTCAAATAGGAGTCCAGTCAGAGCTGCCCACATATGTGGGGGAACCCATGAGTCCCCTTTCCAGCAGGAAGTGGAAAACCAGGTCATCCCTGACCACAGGGCCATCAGACTGAGCCCTGGCGGGACACGGGACAAAGGCCACGTGGGAGCAAGGATGTGGGGGCCAGGTGCTGGCTGGCTGGGTTGCCTGGTGACAGTACTGACTCTTGAGGTCATGTGACTCCAGAAAGCAGGAACCAGGAGAGGAACACACACCGCGGAGAACAGGAGCCCCACGACCGCTGGAGGAACCCTTCCCCGCTGTTGTCATGGTGCCAGGCAACAGCACAGTCAGCGCTCAGCCTGGTCAGACACCCAGTGCACCACTTTCCCCCCCAGGGCTGCCGTGACAAAGGACTACAGACTCGTGGGCAAAACAACACAAAGGCGTTTTCTCCCGTTCTGGAGCCCAGAAGTCAGAAATCAAGATGTCGCAGGTGGTCCCCTCTGGAGGTCCTGAGACGTCTCTCCCAGCTCCTGGAGGCTCCTGGTATCTCACGGTCTGCAGAGGCATCGCTCCAAGCTCTACCTCCATCATCACGCCACCTTTTCATCTGTGTCTTCTCCCCTTTTCTTCCCTTACAAGGACATCTGTGGGACTTCCCTGGTGGTCCAGTGCCTAAGTCTCTGCAATCCCAATGCAGAGGATCCAGGTTCAATCCCTGGTCAGGAAACTAGGTCCCACATGCTGAAACTAAGAGACCCAGCACAGCCAAATAAATAAATTTTTTTTGTTAAAAAAAAAGGACATTTTTTATGGAACTTAGGACTCACCTTAATGTGGGATGATTGTGTGGCATTAGTGGTAAAGAATCCACCTGCCAATGCAAGAGACACTGATTCGATCCCTGGGTGGGGAAGATCCCCTGGAGAAGGAAATAGCAACCCAGTCCAGTATTCTTGCCTGGGAAACCCCAGGGACAGAGGAGCCTGGCGGGCCACAGTCCATGGGGTCACAAAGTCGGACACAACTAAGCATATGAACACATTAATGTAGGATGATACCATCTTTAACTTAATTACCCTCTTTACAAATAAGGTCATATTCGCAGGTTTCAGGTGGACATATCTTTTGGGGGGTGGCCACCACTAAACCCACTACAGTCCACTGCCTGGTCCCCAAATGTAAGCCCACCCCACTTGCAGAATACATTCACCACATCCCAGCATCCACAAAGTCTCACCATTAGAGCTTCGACTCTGAGTCCAAAAATCTCGTCTAAATGTCATCAGCTCAGAAGTACAAGACCCATTGGGTAACTCGGGTCTGAGTGAGATTCCAGGTTTGACCCAGCCTGACACAAAGTTCTCCATTGGTTGACCTGTGTCTCTAGAAACAAGTTATCTGCTTCCAAAATGCTATGGTGGGACAAGCATAGGACAGACGTTTCCATTCCTAAAGGGAGACACTGGAAGAAATGAAGAGCTCTCTGTTCCAAATAAGTCCAGAGTTCAGCAGGGAAGAGTCCACCCAGTTTCAGGGCCTGAGAGGTTCTCTGCGGCCTGATGCTCTGCCCTCAGCAACCCCCTCAGAGCCACGCTTCCCTCCCCTTGAACAGGAATGTGTACTTGCAGCTGACTTGTCGAAGGTGAGGACCACGTGAGGAGGAAAGATTCTGGGGGAGAACCCTTATTCTGAGACAGTTCTATACAATTTCTCCTGAAATCTTTAGAAGAAAGGGCCAAGCCAATTTTCTGAACCGTCTAGGTTTCTGTACTTGTCCCCCACCCTCTTCAAAGTGGATCTTCCTCTGACTCCTTTTGGAGCTCCGATCCTAAGGCAAGCCTTGCAGCCCAAAGCCAGTCCTTTTCAGGCCCCTGGAAAGTATCATCTGTGGGGGAGGCCACCGGCCCTGGACGGGGCGCACCCGCGGGGGTGCACACAAGAGGTTTATCACCAGCAGCTGGGTGTTTGCTTCCAAGTTCCGGGCTGGGGTAGGTCTCTGCAGGCAGCAGGCAGCATGTGCTTCAGAGGGCCTTGGCCACCCCTCAGCCGGGCACCCAGCACTGGGGGGACGGCCAGGGCCTGGAGTAGAAAGCGGCTCACTGCAGGTGCTGGGCAGGTCCAGCAGACGGGGGGCCTGCCAGGCGCGGAGATGAGACCGCGGTGACACTGCGGGGCCTGCTAGGCCAGCACGGAGCACTCACGGGTGTCAGACCCAGGCCGGGGGCCAGCGAGTATCACAGTTACGGCTGAGTTCTCATCAGATTGTGAGCCTGCTGGGTCTGTGGCCCTGGAAAGGCCCCCGGGGAAAAATCACCTGTGTTCTAGTGTCGTGTTGTGGGGGGGTCCCCACTTTCCTGTGTCCCCTTAGACCTGCCTGGAGGGGGCAGGCGGCCGGAGGGCGGAGGGCAGAGCCGGCGTGAGTCCAGGCCCTCCGCCCACCTGTGCCCAGCCCGCAGACACCTCTCTGCTCTCGACACTGGGGTGACGACACCGCCTCCTCGCATCACCAGATGTACCCTTGCCCGTTTCTGGCCCCTTGGGCAGCACCCTTGCCTCTCACCGTGATCCGGACTCACAGCTGCCCTCCAAAGCTTCTCGTGGCCACCCCACTCCACAGGTGAAGGAGAGAGGGCCTGGGAGGCAGGTAAGTGCCCGAGGTTCAGCCAGAGCATGGGAAAGACCCTGCCGACCTCCAAGAACGACCCCCAGGCCCAGGCGATGGCAGGAAGGGGTGTCAGGACAGCCCCCCCCGCCACAAGTAGACAGGCTGCAGATGCTCAGCTCTGCCCCCACCCCTTCCCTCCTGGAACAGGATGCAGACAGTGGCACCCACAACACACAAACGGGTAAGAGCGAGACAGCACCCAGGAGCCGCCCACTTCACCAGCACCCCCACCCTGGGTGGGGATCCCCGCCCTCGGACTGCCACTGCATGCATTCCTGGGGCCGCTGTAGCAAAGACTGAAGAGCAGGCACTTAAGTGACAGGGATTTATTTTCTCACGGTCTGAGGCTGGAAGTCCCACTTCAAGGAGTGAGCAGAGCCAGTTCCTTCCTGGCTTGCAGACTTCTCCTCACGTCCTCACGGGCCGTCCCTCTGCGTGACTGTGTCCTGATCTCCTCTTCCTGTAAGGACAGTCACACTGGAGAAGGGCCATTCCGTGACCGTGTTTAACACCAATCTCCTCTTTAAACACCCTGTCTCCACGTAAGGCACGTCTGAGGATCAGGACTCCGATCGGGGGACACAACCCAACCCTCAACACCAGCCACGTGCACCCTATCTCCTGCTCCCCCAGCTCAGATCACGGGCCAACCGACTCTTGGTTTCTGCCATTTTAGAATCCTACTATTCACAACTTATTTAGTTTTCTTGTATAAAAAAGTTTCAGACTCTATGGTCTCCTGGAATTTGCTTTTTTTTTTTCCACCAAAAGCTGTTTCTAAGACCCATTCTCATTGCGTGCAGCTAGTGCTGGTTCATTTCATGGCTTTCTCCTGTCTCGGCCTTTGGGGTCCTTTCCAGATTTTGCTAAAGTGGGGGAGGCTGTTGTGAACATCTCCACCCACCTGTCCTGATGCACCTCTGTTTGTGAGACTCCGGAGGGGAACGTGGGGTCACTGTACGTGGGAGTCCAGTCGACACAGGAGAGCCAGTGCCTTCCCACACGCCCCAAGGGCCGACAGACACCGTGATAGCAGAATGAGCCACAGGCACAAACATGGAGGCTTCCCGACCTCTTTATTTTTGCCAACTGAGCAAGGGTGAAGTGGTGTCTCATTTGGATAAAACTGTATTTCCCTGCTTGCTGGTGAAGTGGAGCATCTTTGTATAACTTAAAAAAGAAATTTTTTGACAAGTACACACTGCTATATTCGTTTATCTGTTTTACGTAGTTTTGGCTGCTCTGGGTCTTCGCTGCTGCACGAGGGTGTCCTCCAGCGCAGAGTGGGGGCTCCTCTCTAGTTGTGGAGCACGGGCCGCTCACTGCGGCAGCTCCTCCTGTCGCAGAGCACGGGCTCTGGGTGCTCGGCTCACTGGTGGCAGCTTGCAGGCTCTAGGGCTCAGCGGTTGCGGTGCACGGGCTGAGCTGCTCTGAGGCACGTGGAGTCATCCCCCACCAGGGACGGAAACTGTGCCCTGTGCATTGGCGGGTGGATTATCCACAGGGCTTCCCTTGTGGCTCAGCTGGTAAAGAATCCGCCTGCGATGTGGGAGACCTGGGTTCGATCCCTGGATTGGGAAGATCCCCTGGAGAAGGGAAAGACTACCCACTCCAGTATTCTGGCCTGGAGAGTTCCATGGACTATACAGTCCATGGGGTCACAAAGAGTCAGACATAACTGAACGACTTGCACTTCGCACACTTATCCACTGTACCATCAAGGAAGTCCTCTTTCCTATCTTTATTGACTGGTTTTTCTTCCTCTACTGGGAATTGTTGGTTTGTATATTTTGCCTGTTGATCTAAATGTAACTATTATCTTAATATTTTTTAAATGGAAATATAGTTCTTTTTGTATTCTGCATATATATTAGATTATATATTGTGGAACTAATTTTTATTTGATATAAGAATTGGCAATATCTTCTCTTGTTTGGGGCTCAATTTTGAATTTTCTTCACGGTGTCTTTTAGACAAACAAGAGTACTTTTAATGTAGTGAATTTATCAACATTTGTTTTTATGGTTATTGCTTTTATATCCTGTTTAAGAAATCCTTTCTGAGCCTAAGAGCAAAATTCACCCATACTTTCTTCTAAGAATGTACAGAATAAACTCTAGTACTGACGTACAGCACGCATGTGGAAAATTTCCCTGCCTCTGGTGTTCGTGGAAGGGTTGGTCTGAATGACCTCCCTTGGTTCGACCACAGCAGAAACCCAAAGCCATCTTTTGTTAAAACCCGTGTGAAACTCTTCGCAGCTCTAGTACGGACGCTTTCGGTCGCCTGCTCAGCAGCCAGTCAGCCCTTTCCTCGTCTGACAGGTGCTGAGCTGGCTCCGTGATGTGTCAGCGAGGCTGGGCTGAACTACTTCTCCAGAATTCCCTTTCCGGCAGGTTTCCTAACTTGGCTCTTGGCATGAGATGTGGGAGGCAGCAGGGGCGTATGAGTCGGACACGACTCAGCGGCTGACAACCAGGAGCATGAGGTGCCAGCTGGACTGTTCCGACACTTGGAGCTCAGGGCAGGGGCCCAGGTGTGGCTGCAGCTCCCACACGAGGCCCCTTCTCTGCTGGCTCCCCTCCCGGGCAGGAGGCAGGTGTGCGGCTGATTCGCCTCTCAAGCCACCCTTTTGCTTCTCCAGCTCCCGGGCCGGAAGTGTGTGCAGTTTCCCGACACGGTGCCAACTTCTGCAGGACACCCACGTGAGGTGTCCGTCCTCTTGGCTTCCAGCTTGGGCTCGCTGGTCCCCCCTCCAGCTCCACCTTCCCTTCCTGACTACCTGCTCCACACACTTGAGGCTTCAGCGTCAGGCAGGGGGGCGGCAGCTTCCAGAGACCCTTCCAGCAGCCTGGCGACGGCAGAGGTCAGCTCCCTTAACGACGTCACCCCCGTGGCCCTGCGCCGGGCGGGCACAAGTGCCCGGCGCGCAGACCTTTCCATCTGGGTGCTAGGAGCGGAGGCCCGGCCCCGAGACAAACCCTGATGGGCTTCATTTCCCTCCTGGTGACGGGTCTACGTGTCCGAAGCCAGTTCCAGGGCGGGGAGGACGGTGGCGGCGGCTCCCTTGCCCTCCTGGGCGCTGAATGTCGGCCTGACTGCAGCCAGGACCGCCATCCTGTGACCCCAGGAGGAAGGACGTCTGCCTGCTGCAGGCGGGGAGGTAAAGAGCAGGGAGGGCGTCCACGCTCTGGACGCCGGGGCTCCGCCTGGAAAGCCAGCCTTCCCGTGCGTGCGATCGGCGGCTCCCCGCGGCCCCCTCCCTCCTGCAGCAGGACGCTCTGGGCCTCAGCGCCCTTGTCCCCTTTTTCGGGAACGCTCCACCTCCGTCCGTGTCACCTACCGCCCAGCCGAGAAGGGCGGGGACGGCGGGCGCGGCGGAGACCTTACGTCCAGACCCGCGTGCGCGCAGGCGCAGCACCGTCCCCACGCGCCCTCCGTGCGCCTTGGTGCCTGCGGGCCGCCGTACAGTCGGGCGTCTCCATGGCGACCGCGTGAGCCCCACCGCCTCCGAATGGCCGCGTCGCCATGGCGACCGCGTGCGCCTGCGGCCTGTATTGTTCCGCTGGGCCCTCCGCTCCCGGGGCGGGCGGGTGAGGACGGGCTGTGGGCTGGTACGGGGACCCATTGGGAGAGGCTGGGGGCGCCGGGTGATGGGAGGTGGGGCGCACTGGAGACTCTGGGACACCGCGCGCTTGCGGGCCCGGAGCGCCGCCTCCCTGCCCCCGCGCGGCCCGCCCCGCCCGGGCGAGGACCCATCGGGAGATGCTAGGGGCGCCGGCTGATGGGAGGTGGGGCCCGGAGCGCGGCTGGCGCGGTGGGGACGCGGCCTCCCAAGCCCCTGCGCGGCCCGCCCCGCCCCCTCGCGGTCCTGAGACTTTCTCCTTGGTCTAGAGGTTTGGGGAGGTTGCAGCCTGCACTACCCCGAGTCATAGAAAAGGACCCACGGGGAGGCCTAGGGGGCGCGGGCCCCTCACTCCCCGACTCTGAAATGGAGGGACAGACACACAGCAGACTCCTGAGCTGGCAGCACCCTCGCTGAGCGAAACGCTGATGAGAAGGACCCAGACCTGCAAATAAGAAAGGGCGAGCTCAGGGCGCCCTCCGCACTCAGGGGAGGGAGATGCCAGCGTGTGGATTTGGAACCGTTCTGATTCGGTTTCGTCCGTCGAGAAGGCATTCCTCCTTTGCATTTTCCAGGAATTAAAAGTTAAGTCTGGAACTCCGAGGTGCAGAGGGAGGGGCGGAGCAGTTTAACCTGAGCATTCTTGCAGCCCGCTTCGTTTTACCAAAGTCCGGTTTATAATGCTGTTTATTAGACGCGCAGGTTTTTGTAAGCCAGCACAGCCATTGCAGGCCTGCCGAGCCGCCGGAAGGCGTGATTGTGCCGTGTAGCCCTTGTTGATGTGTCTCCCCTCCCCGCCCCCTGTCTCCAGGTGACTCCACACCCAGGAGCATGCGCCGCGGTCCCCAGAGGAGTGCTTCCTCCCGGCCGACTGATGGAGGGGAGCGGTTCCCTCTCGGTTCCCTGCGGGGCTGGTGACCAGGAGAGCAGCGCTGGCCAGGCTGGGAGCAAGCCCACCTCCGCTTCCAGAGATGTTCACGCGGGGGTCCTCTTCTCCTCCTCAGCGATTTTAGACTTGAGTCAAAGTGGTCTTCACCATTTTGAGGAGATCTTTAAAGTCCCCAACCTCAGAGTAAGTGGGGCAGCCTCTGGGCTTGGTGCACGCAGGCCGTGTAGATGTGAATGAAGGCTTTGCTCACTTGCAGGTTTCTTTTTAGAGAGAAATTCTAGAATGAGATGGATTGGAAGAGGGTTAGCTTGGGGTTTCATGTGCCGCTCACTGCAAAATGAGAAATTCCGGCAGGGGCCAGCCAGACGCTAATGTCCTCTCTTCGGAAACATCTTAAGTGAAAAGCCCATGGTGGGTGGAAACTGTTGCTAAAAACACGCTTGGTCTCTTAATCAAAACTCAACACCCCTGAGAGACTTCCCTGGTGGTCCAGTGGTTAAGCCTTTGCCTTCCAGTGCAGGGGGTGTGGCTTTGATCCCTGGTTGGGAGCTAAGATTACACATGCCTCTCAGGCAAGAAACAAAAACAAAAAACAGAAGCAGCATTGTAACAAAGCAATAAAGAGTTAAAAAATGGTCCATATCCAAAAAAAAAAAAAATCTAAAAATACAAAACCACAATACCCCTTAAAAACTTCCGTCAAACCTTTCTCCCCCCACAGCGTTGCCCATGGCGAGTGCTTGACTCTGCTGTGGGCCGGGTGCCTTCATGGGATCCCGCCCCCGCCTACTTGAGATCCAGCAGGTCTGTCTCCTCCTGCGAGTTCTACAGCAAAGTTTCCTCTGCACAGCTTGACAGAGACTGTCCAGGGCCAGCAGTTCTCTCACTGCCCAATAGTCTCGCAGCTTCCTTGAACCTCACCTTGTCTCCATGGTGGATCAGGAGGATCAGCATATAAAGCAGTGTCCACACAGGACACACACCCCCGTGTTGCACTGTCAGCCTGCTGATTGACAGTTTTCAGTGCTTTTATTAGGTTAGCCGAAAAGCTTCTTCGATTTTAAAGTAAAAATAAAAGGCAGTTTTCATTTTCACCAAGAACTTTATTGAAGTACATATTCGTTGTTTTGTTCCATTACCTTTTGCCATTTCCCAGGCAACTTCGTAATTCCATCTTCCCAAAGCTTGTTATCTTTTTGAGCAAAGAACTGCCGAGTGCCTTTTACAGCCTTCCAGGGAATTGAAATTTTTCCCGTCAAGAGAATTTTGTAAAGACTGAAACAAATGAACATCCGGAAGTGCAGTGTCTGCTGGATACGGAGGATGAATCAGAACTTCCCAGCCAAGCTGTAACAGTATTAGCCTAGTCAACCAAAGAATCATTCAGTCTTACATTATCCTGATGGGAGGGTTTTGTTTTTTTTTCTGTTGACTAATTCTGGACATTTTTCGTGGCATGCTGCTTTTGGTTGGTCTCACTGGGAGCAGTACTTGTTGGACCCAATCGTGTGGTTTTCCAGAAGGAGCTCAGAGGACTCCCTGCCAACCCCACCCCATACATCACCTCGCCTTTGCATGAAGACCAGCTTTTGGTGTGGTTGGTGGTCGTTCATTTCGCTTGCCCTATGATCTCTTCTGTTCCACACTTTTGTACAGTATCCATTTTTCCTTGCCTGGTGTTTTAAAAATGGAACATTTTTGTTATGTTTAAGTAGAGAATCACATGTGGAAATAAGGTACAGAAGGTTTTTTTCACTTAACTTACGTGGAACCCAAATATCAAAGCGATGAACATAATTAAGCTGGTGCAAATGATTTTCAGTGCTTGCTTGGAACATTTTGAGTATGTCCACTCTCTCCCGTGTGGTGTAACGTTGATTATTCTCAATGTCTCAGTTTGGTGGCTGTCAACTTCGAGTAGTCTGCTGAGCCATGGAGCATCGTCCAGTGAGAAATCCCAGCATAAAACTTCACAAACCACTTTTGGCACTTTTGATCAGTCACAGCACATACTCCATACACGGCACAACTCTTTTTTTGCATTTTAATCTCATTCTTACCTTTCTCGAAATAAGAAAGCTTTTGTGTGTGCATGCTCAGTCAATAAGACGCTGAAAATGTTGCTTTTTTTCTTCCATCTTCAGTATTTAAATGGCTGCACAAAAATTCACCAGTTTTGATAAATTTTTTTTAAAAAAATGTATACCGATATGACAGCTGTCACACTATAACAAAATTGTTTCCAGTGAAGTTAAAGACGAGAGCTACTAGAACCATCATATGCAAAGAAATGAATGAACTTCTTGGCCACCCCAGTACCTGTGGCCGTGTGCGCTTAGACTTTAGGTGGCCGCTTGCTTTCCTAACCCGTTGTGTTCCACAGCCTGTGTGTGCTCTCGGGCCAGCACTGGTCTTGCTGTTTCCTTAGCACTGCCCTCCATGAGTGAATTACTGTGTCTTCCTATAATACACCACTTTTAATGAAGCAAATGCTCTCAGTTCTGAACGAGGAGATTTCCCGTCAAGAGAATTTTGTAAAGACTGAAACGAATGAACATCCGGAAGTGCAGTGTCTGCTGGATACGGAGGATGAATCAGAACTTCCCAGCCAAGCTGTAACAGTATTAGCCTAGTCAACCAAAGAATCATTCAGTCTTACATTATCCTGATGGGAGGGTTTTGTTTTTTTTTCTGTTGACTAATTCTGGACATTTTTCGTGGCATGCTGCTTTTGGTTGGTCTCACTGGGAGCAGTACTTGTTGGGCCCAATCGTGTGGTTTTCCAGAAGGAGCTCAGAGGACTCCCTGCCAACCCCACCCCATACATCACCTCGCCTTTGCATGAAGACCAGCTTTTGGTGTGGTTGGTGGTCGTTCATTTCGCTTGCCCTATGATCTCTTCTGTTCCACACTTTTGTACAGTATCCATTTTTCCTTGCCTGGTGTTTTAAAAATGGAACATTTTTGTTATGTTTAAGTAGAGAATCACATGTGGAAATAAGGTACAGAAGGTTTTTTTCACTTAACTTACGTGGAACCCAAATATCAAAGCAATGAACATAATTAAGCTGGTGCAAATGATTTTCAGTGCTTGCTTGGAACATTTTGAGTATGTCCACTCTCTCCCGTGTGGTGTAACGTTGATTATTCTCAATGTCTCAGTTTGGTGGCTGTCAACTTCGAGTAGTCTGCTGAGCCATGGAGCATCGTCCAGTGAGAAATCCCAGCATAAAACTTCACAAACCACTTTTGGCACTTTTGATCAGTCACAGCACATACTCCATACACGGCACAACTCTTTTTTTGCATTTTAATCTCATTCTTACCTTTCTCGAAATAAGAAAGCTTTTGTGTGTGCATGCTCAGTCAATAAGACGCTGAAAATGTTGCTTTTTTTCTTCCATCTTCAGTATTTAAATGGCTGCACAAAAATTCACCAGTTTTGATAAATTTTTTTTAAAAAAATGTATACCGATATGACAGCTGTCACACTATAACAAAATTGTTTCCAGTGAAGTTAAAGACGAGAGCTACTAGAACCATCATATGCAAAGAAATGAATGAACTTCTTGGCTACCCCGGTACCTGTGGCCGTGTGCGCTTAGACTTTAGGTGGCCGCTTGCTTTCCTAACCCGTTGTGTTCCACAGCCTGTGTGTGCTCTCGGGCCAGCACTGGTCTTGCTGTTTCCTTAGCACTGCCCTCCATGAGTGAATTACTGTGTCTTCCTATAATACACCACTTTTAATGAAGCAAATGCTCTCAGTTCTGAACGAGGAGCCCAGCAGTGTAGAGACTCATGGTGCCTTCATGCATAAAAGAAGGAGGAAGCCTTCTTTAGCCTGAATGAAGGGGCTTTATTTGTGCCTCAGAATATAGAGGTGTCAACCTTATCACCGTGGCAACGAGTCCCCGAGTGAGGTGACCACCCCGAGCTGTGGCCCTTCAGGCGTTACGTTGCATTTTGCAGCCATAGCGACACCCTCCAGAGCCTCCAGTCACTCCCGCAGAGACCCTCACGGTCAGGGGGCACGGACGCCCTCCCAGCCTGCCCGTCCCCACGAGGCCTCACGGAACCTGGCAGGCAGGCTGGGCTCCTGTGATGCACTCAGCCTGGCCCCAGGGTCCAAGGCGGGGGCCGGCGTGTCTCTGCGATCTCCTCCTCTGGTGTGGACGAGGACCCGCCACTTCAGTGCTGAGTCTGGGAGTCAGAGCGCCTAAGCTGCCCAGGCAGGGGCTGGGCCGCGAGTGGCCCAGAGCAACAGCGTCCACAAGCCGAGCCCAGTCACCAGGCGGTCCCCGGCCGCGTCTGAGCTGACTCGGGATTGTGTTTTCGGCATATCTGCAGTTTCTTGCCGGTGTGTCTCAAGCGTCTGCCGTGCGCTTGACGGGACTTGGAAGGTGGCGTTGGCAGCAGACCTGGGAGCCAAGACCCTGGTGGTGGAAGAGCGCCTGCCGTGTGCCCGGGGCCGTAACAGAGCGGCGGTGACCCGTTCCCCCAGGGCGTGCACCCCGTCACAGGCCAGGCCCGGAGCACAGAGGGGCTCAGGAACCTGCTCCAGGGCACACGGCTCTCGGGTTTTTCCAAATCAAGGTTTGAACCCAGGGAGCCTGGTTTCCCGGCCAGTGTCCCTCAGTTCTCCACTCTGCCGCCGTGGTAAATAGAAATACCTAGATGCGTCTATGTGTGGCTCAGGGAGGTCCCCTGGAGACGGGAATGACAGCCCACTCCAGTATCCTCGCCTGGAGAATCCCGTGGGCAGAGGAGCCGGGTGGGCTGCAGTCTATGGGGTCACAGAGAGTCGGACACGACTGGGCGGCTGAGACTTTCCCGTGTGTGAAAGGTGGCTCCACGCAGCAGGTGGCGACCGCGGGAGAGAAGGTTTCTGTGTCACCCCCAACCCGGCTGCTCTGACGACCGTATCGCGCTCGTACGCAGCGCGGGGGCCGACGTGCGTGTGGCCCCTCCCTCCTGTGCCGCCCTGAGCCTCCGTGCTGACCCGAGGGTCCACCGGGTGGGGGTCAGGCTCCCTGACGTGACCGTGACCGGCTGGCTCCGTGTGGCCGTTTGCAGCCCCGGTGATGCCACAGCTCACAGCTCAGCCCCGCGCCCTTTGGTTGCCCTTTCAGTGCCTCCTGACCCAGGAACCAAGACCCAGACGCGGCACCTGCCCTCATCCTCTGGGCAGCGGGGCCGCGGACACTGCGGTCCCCAGGAACGGGACCGGGACGCAGACACACGGGGTGACGATGGGCGTTCTAGTTGGTGGAAAAGGTGGATGTGCTCGGCGGTGGCGTCTCGACCACCGGCCGGGAGAGAAGCCGCGTCCGGGTGGGAAGCCACTCGAGCGGCTGCGTGGGGAGGCCTGGCCTCGTCTTTTTCACTTTTTAAATTTTTTAAGAGAACTGTTTGGTCAGATCGGGTCTCATCTGTGGCCTGAGCGTCTCTCTCTGTGGCCCATGGGCTTAGCTGCCCCCAGCAAGTGGGATATTCACTCCCCGCCAGGGGACTGAACCTGCGTGCCCTGCATTCAGAGCAGATGCTCAGCCGCTGGACCACCAGGGAAGCCCCCAGGCCTCGACTTTCTGATGCTTGTGTTTCCCGTTTCAGCCATTTCAGGGGAAACATTCGGGTTTTCGTTTAACTTGCTGTGTGTGATTGCAGTCACCAGTGCAAATGTTTTGAGGGTGTATCACGTTTTAGAATTTAGTTGGCTGACAAAACATTCTTCTTTTCCCCCTGGAAGCAGTTGCACCTTCAGCGAAATGCCCTGTGCGCGATTCCTAAAGACTTCTTCCAGATGCTGCCCAACCTCTTGTGGCTGGACCTGCGCTTCAACAGGATCACCGCGCTGCCCTCTGGTATTGGCCGTCACGAGTGAGTAGCCTGTCTGTCTGGCCGGGTGGGGAGGTCACCGCCTCTTTAAAGTGCCTGTCTTTGGCTGCCTTGCTCTCCCCCACCCCTCCCATGAATCTCGGCTTTAGAGCAGAAGCGCGTGGTGGGGTCTGCAAAGCCATTTGGAGCCTGCGGTGGCTGCAGGTACCGAAAGCACACGTGCTGTGCCTGGCTTAGTCGCTAAGTCGTGCCTGACTCTTGTGACCCGTGGACTGTAGCCCACCAGGCTCTTCTGTCCATGGGATTCTCCAGCCAAGAATGCCGGAGTGGGTTGCCATTCCCTTCTCCAGGGGATCTTCCTGACCCAGGGGTTGAACCCGGGTCTCCTGCATTGCAGGCGGATACTTTACCGACTGAGCTACAAGGGAAGCCCAAAAGCACATACATGATTATCGCTTAGGACACCTAGTACCTCGGAACACGCCAGCACCACAGCGACTCTGCTGGATGGTGCCCACGGCTTTCCCCACAAGCAGGTTACATCTCTGGCTCCCGTGTCAGAAATATTAATACTTCTGATGCATGCAGACCCGCGGCTTCACTCCCGAGGGCCCGTGTGTGACTGCACCAGCTCCCGGTAGACAATGAGACGCTCTTCCTGTCTGGAGGAACTGGAAACCCTGGAGCACGCTCTGCGCTGTCCTGCTGAGTTCCTGCCACCCAGATGCCAGGCGTCCCCTAGCATCCCCCTTCTGGAACCGAGGCCAAACTGCCTACCCCCGTATGCCCCTCAGAGCCACGTGCAGCGTGAGGCCACCCTTCTCTCGGGCGCCGTGGCCCCAGGCCCAGTCCTTCCGTGGCAGCCTGTCGACCTTTAGGAGACCTCGTGATTTGAATGTAAGACCCTCCTGTAGTGTCAGTGTATCCGAGGCAGGGGGGATGTCAACTGCAAGGGCGCTGAGGTGGGCCTGTCCCTGCGGACAGAGCTGAGGCGGGGAGGCGGCAGGCGGCGCCCAGAGAGGGAGTTGCGGAGCTCGTAGGACGATTGCTAGTTTGAATTTCGTCATGGAAGAGGCAGGAAGTCACAGAGGGTCGCAGGGAGGGGGCAGGCCCGTCCGGAGGCCCTGCAGCTGTCCATGCGGGGAGCCAACGGCATTCAGGTCGGATGGAGGGTGTGGGAGGGAGAGAGGGGTCTGAGGGTGACCCCCTTCCTGGAGGAGTCATCGCAGACCCGTGAAATGCAGAGAAGGGGCTGTAGAAGGCCCTTCAGTCGCCTGGACAGCCGCGCAGTGGTTTTAAAAGCATTTCACAGAAGTGAGTGTCGTGTTGCGTGTAACAGGGAAGGGCCCCCATGAATCGCGTCTTGGGCACCCCGGGTGGGGCACCCAGGCTGTCTCCCCGAGCTCCTGGGTCTGCCGGGGGTTGTGCCCCTGGGCCTGGAGCAGCGTGACAAGCGGCTCTGCCCACTCCGCTTTCTCACGGGCCCCTGCCAGCGTGGCCGGTGGCCTCAGCGTCCCCAAGTGTGTGTCAGGGTGGTTTTCGGCAGCTCTGCTCGTCACAGGGAGCTTGGCCGCTGTGTTGAGATCAGTTTTGTGCTCTTGGCCCACTGTTGACTTAGCAGTGGCACTCGGGTCTGAAGAGTAAGCGCTCCTCAAAGGGTAAAAAAACCAGCGCTGCTTCCCGTAAGCCCTGTTGTTCCTTCTGAAACAAATACACGGCCTCAAACTTGAGAATTCTTTGATTTTGCCACTTCTGAAAGCCAGCTGCTGAATGTTGTCTAAGATATAATTTTGCCTGTGGTTTATACCCCGTTATGTTATTAAAATTAGATCAGTATGCTGAAGAGCTGAAAACATGTTCATTAGAAGTCTTAAGTAATTATGGGCTTATTAAAAGCCTTAAACTTTCTGAAAAGCGTAATCAAAACAACAGCAGCGTTCACGTGCCCCTGTCCGTGTCGTGGATGTGGGAGCCGCCGGCAGGGAGCGTATGTGACGGGGCCATCGTGGCTCAGCAGGTGTTTGGCAGTGTCTGGAGACCCTGAGGTTGTCACGCTTGAGGAGGGGGCGTTTAGGTTGGGAGACCGGGACGCCGCTAAACACCCTGCGGGCAGGACGGGCCCTCAGAAAGAGCTGCCTGGTTCCAGTGCCTGCAGCGCTGAGGCTGAGCCCGACCAGCTGCCAAGCGGCAAGGCTGCTGGCTGTCGGAGCAGAGTGTTGGGGGGAATGTGTGCACGTCTGCCTGGACGCCACCCCCACAGAGAGAAGACAGGTGAAGAAATGTGATGCTCGTTCGACTTCCTGCTTGCTAAATTATATATTTTTTGTCTTTTTTTGAAGGCATTTGAAAACTTTGCTATTGGAAAGAAATCCCATCAGAATGTTACCCGTGGAGCTGGGTGAGTGTTAACAAGCAGTGAAATGAAAGGTAGGTTTAAATGCAGCCTTCTGTAGCCACTGGAACTCACAGTGGACACACAGGCCCGTCCCCGCGTGGGGGAAGCAGCCGATGCCGTCCGCTCCACCCCTCTGGGCGCCGAGACGACGGGGCTAACGGGGGCTGCCGCTGTCACGCTGACGTCCTGCATGTGCATACGTGTGTGAGCACTGCGGACGCGGGGCCCTGCGGTGCTCAGGGAGGGCGGCATCGGGGCTCTGTGGGCCCAGCGCCCTCCCAGTCCAGCTGCGCGCCCCCCTCAGCCAGCAGGGTCTCTGCTCACCCCTCTTTGCTTGCCTTGGGAGCTTTCCCACTCACCACCCCTGCCCAGGACGTGTTTAAAGGCCTTCCTTTCAGACTCCCGCTAAGCTTCTGCATTTGCCCCCTCCGTGTGTGTTCTTGGTGGCCTGGCCTCTGGGGCTTAGCACAGTCCCGGAGGTTTGTCCACATGGGCGTGGATGCCGGGAGTGTGTCTGCCTCTGTTCATTTTCCCTGCGAAGGGTTCTTCCTCCTGCCTGGTTCCTGGGCTCCTCCTGCCAGGTGAGCTCTTGTCTTCGTGCATTCTGCTTTTAGGCATGGACTGGGTCCAGCGGACACTCTGCTTTACGTTTCTCCCATGGTCACCCTCTGCTGCTCTTCACCTCTTGAAGTTTCATCTTCCATCTGGGACAACTTTGTTGGCGGGAAGACCTTCTTTTGGGTCACACTGAGTCTTATGGTAAAGGATTATTGCTACTGGTCAGCCGTTAAGTCGTGTCCGGCTCTCTGTGACCCAGTGGGCTGCAGCACGCTGGGCCCCTCTGTCCTGCACTGTCTCCTGGAGTTTGCTCAGATTCATGTCTGTTGGGTTGGCGATGCCGTCCAATCATCTCATCGTCTGCCCCCTCAGCCTCAGGCTTTCTCAAAGGCCATCTGCATCTTTGCTCCGTTGTTGAAGGCTGTTGCAGCGAGTGTGGGAGCTAGCCTGTAGGGGCTGACTACTGTGCAGATGTCTGTGTTGTGTGGATTCCATCATCTGTTCAAACGTCAACAGTTTTGATAGAGGTACCATCTTCTTTTTTCTGGGTGCTTTAGAATGTTTCTTTTTCCGTTTGATTTTCAGTGGTTTGTCTGTGGAATTCCTGCGTGTGGTTTTCTGTGTATTTACATTGCTCGAGGTTCACTGAGCTGCTTGAATCTGCGTATTGATGCCTTTCATCAGATTTGGGGAATTTCGGGGCCGACATCATTTCTCTGGGTGGTGTGTGTCCCGCAGGCTTTTCCGTCGCGTCCGGCACTCCTGACGGTTACACGTGGCTCTGACTCAGATGCCTCGAGTGTCCCTTTCCCGGCTTCTGTCTCCCCTCTGCGTCCCACCGTCATGGACTCTCTGTCGACCCGCCTTTGATGTCATCGGTTCTGTCTTCTGCGTCCAGATTGCCGTTAAGCTCATCTGTTTTGCTCAGTGGTTTTCGCCTGGACCTGAGATTGTGTGTGCGGTGGGTCTGGGGTGGGTGTAATTACCAGTTCATGTTTTAAATGGTCACAGGCCAGTTTGCATTCTCTGTTCCTATGTGAGTCCATCCTGGCAGGCTTTCCTTTCATCTGGGGTCTTGAAGGACAGTTTGGGTGGACTCAGACGCTGGGTCAGCGGGTTTTCTCCAGCACCTTGAGCCTGATGCTCCCTGCCTTCTTCCACCATCGCTCTGGACAAGAACTCAGCCATCGACCTTGTGTGGTTGTCAGTGACTCATTCACGTCCAGCTCTTTGCAACCCCGTGATCTGCAGCACGCCAGACTTCCCTGTCCTTCTCTATCTCCTGGAGCTCACTCAAACTCATGTCCATCGAGTCGGTGATGCCATCCGACCATCTCATCCTCTGTCGTCCCCTTCTCCTCCTGCCTTCAGTCGTTTTCAGCATCAGGGTCTTTTCCAGTGAATCAGTTATTTGCATCCAGTGGCCAAAGTACTGGTGCCTCAGCTTGAGCATCAGTCCTTCCAATGAATATTCAGGACTGATTTCTTCTAGGATGGACTGGTTTGATCTCTTTGCTGGACAAGGGACTCTCAAGAGTCTCCTCCACCACCACAGTTTGAAAGCATCAGTTCTTTGGTTCTCAACCTTCTTTATGGTCCAACTCTCACAGCCACACGTGACTACTGGAAAGATCAGAGCTTGAGGCTGGTCCCTTTACATAATGACTTGTTTCCGAGGTTATTTTCTTGGTCTTTCAGAATCGCACCGAGACGTTCCTCGTGTGGACCTGTTTGAGCGTCCTGAGAGTGTAGATTAGAGTCTGTCATCGCCTCTGGGGCCATTTTCGCCGTGGTCTCCTCGGGTGACCCCTCTGCTCCTTTCTGCGTCTGCTCTCCTTACACACGTGCTCGCACACCTGCCGTTGTTCCACAGTCTCTGGAGGTTCTGCCCTGGTTTTAACCCTTTCTCCTCTGTGATCTTCAGATGGAGACTCTCTGCTCCTCCATCTTCAAGTTCACTTACTGTCTCTTCTCCATCTCACGCCTGCTGCTGAGTCCCTCCAGGAGATTTTATCGCAGTCTTCGTAATTTTCAACTCTAGAACTTCCACTTGCTTCTTTTGTGTAGTTTCTACTTTTTACTGACATTTGTTGAGTCATTTCACTACGCTTTCTTTAATCATTTAAACATGGATTGTTGTTGTTGTTGTTTTTCATTTCTTTGAGCACATCTAAAATGATGTTTTGAAGTCTCTGTGTGCTAAGTCCAGCACATGGACCAACTGGATGACAGTCCCTTCCGACTGTGCTTCCTGGTGTGCGTCCCGCTCTCCCCCTCCTCCTTCTGTCCTACATGACCTGTGGTTTTGCTGTTGTTGTTGAAAACAGGTCTGTGAGATAGCATGTGACAGCATCTTTGTATTTTGGTTTGCACATGACAGCATCTTTGTATTTTGGTTTGCACCTGAGGGCTGCGGTTGCCGCTTCTGTTTGCGTATTTAATTTTATAACCATCATGGTCTTCATCCACAGAACCCGTCTCCCCTGCAGAGTTTTTTTTTTGGAAGCAGATCTCAAGCATCTGTCGTGACCTTTCGCCCCAGACCCTCGCCGGGCCTTCTGTCCTTCGTGTTGGGGTCCGGGCTGCCCTGACCGGCCGGTTCCCACCGGGCGGCGGGTGCTGACGGCTCTGCTCTCCCACAGGGAGCGTGACCACCCTGAAGGCCCTGAGCCTGCGGCACTGCCCCCTGGAGTTCCCGCCACAGCTCGTGGTGCAGAGGGGGCTGGTGGCCATCCTGACCTTCCTGCAGATCTGCGCGGCCGAGTGCGCGGTACCCCGAGATGGCTCCCCTCGAGGTGGGTGGCGCGATTGTTAGGACGCACTGACGCCGGTGCTCTGTAACCCCGGGGCCCCAGGGCGTCACGCGGGGTAAGGGTGCCCGGCGCGTCCCCTGCCCGACTCGCACAGACCTCCATGCTCACTCAGAGCCGCGTGTCTTCCTGGTTCCGTGTGGGTGGGTTTGCATCCTCGGTGCCCGTCACTGAGCTTGTCGAGGGTGGGTTTGGCTAAAAGCCCACTGGGGTGGTTCAAACGAAGCCGTCCTCACCTGCAAGCCCCCATGGAGGTGACCATCCCAGGAGTCACCTAAAAATGCACCAAATGACCAGTCAAAACGATGGTTTCCATTTTCATGCATTAGTTGTTTTCATGCCACATGGGGTGATTCAGCATTCGTTTACAGTGCTTGCATCTGGCCCGTTTGCTCGACTTTAAACTCCCGTCTGCTGGCATCTCTACTCCTGTTTGGTGGTGTGACGGGTCCAGTTTGACTCTTTGATGCTGAGTCAGTTGTCTGTCCACAAGCAAATTGGACGCATGTGCTCATTTCTTGTCACTTCTTAAGACTTTTTAAAGCAGGTCTTTGCCAATTTTGAAAACTATTTTTCTTTAAAAAACAAAAGAACACCGACCCCCAGCACCGGTCCCCAGTGGTTGGGACCAGGCCATCCTGGGCTCACACGAGCTGTGCCCGGTGCAGCCGCAGTGCACCCCGCTGGGCCACTCTCGGGTTCCCACAGGAGGAGACCCGGGCCAGGGTTCCGAAGGGCAGGTGCTGTCCTGCTAGCCTGTGAGTCCAGGTGTCCACCCGCCCACATTCCACGGTCTCCCCAGAGCACGGGAGAGCAGCCTCCACTTCAAGAAACAATGTTGTGACCACTGACACTGAACGTATTGTTCAGAATTTAACATTTTATTGTGCAGTTAAAACTCATCACCTTGCAGTCCCATTGTATTTTTTATTTGTATTTTTATAAAGAGGGCTCTATTGGTTCCAACGTAATAGATACATGATCAGCTGGGGAAAAGGGTAGAAAACAGCTGAATAAATTAGGCCAAAAAGCTGAAGATGAATTCGTTTTATACCAGAAGGTAACTTGGACGGGCAAAGCTGTCTCAATGTGTTGTAGAACGCCAGGGGCTGCTGGGTCTGGGGGTGTGCCACAGGCTGAGGCTGGGCTTGGTGGGCGAGCCCCCCACTCCAAGCCCACAGCAGGCCCGGGCCCCCTGTCTGTCAGTCAGCACATGAGGTCCT